CTATTTGCAAAAATGAAAAAACTGAACTTACATTAAAACGTCTGTTAACTCCAGTAGGTGCATTACGGAAGCCTTTTATACCTTGAAAAATACCACCACCAATAAGACCCATGGCGAAAGCTCCGCCAAGATCTTCTAATATTCTCATTGGACAGGGTTCTCTTCCAAATTCTTCCATTGTATTTTTATTGCTGTTCTATAAAACACCTGAAATTCTAAATAAATATTGTATTTATTATTAAAATGTCAATGAAAAAAATCCAATTTTTTTTGTAAATCATTAAATGTTTATTAGAAAGCTTTTAACTCTAAAAAGTAAATGATTAATCTTAAACCTGGCTATCACAAATATGAATGTYAATATAATTGTTTGTAATAAACTTCAGTATGATTAAGAAATCAATTTTTAAAACCATCCATCATATTAACTATTTTATTTGTTATTTAGTTTTAGTAACAATTTTGATAAGTCCTTAATAATAATATGGTATTATATATAATTCAGTGAAAATGATACTCATCATTAAACATACCTACTAAATATCAAAACATTAAATGCTTGTTTTTTTTTTTATATATGTATACAAATTTGATAGTAATACAAAAATTGTTTATGTAGCATTATACTAAATAAATGATAGCACTTAAAAAAATTAAAATAATTAGGTATAAAATTCATTCTCTTTCAGGAGATTCAAGTCTTGGTCTTTTGTTGAATACTTCTTCTACTTTATTTTGAATATTATGATTGAATTTATATTTGTTGGAGAGTTTTAAAATCACTTTTGTATTTTCATTGACATCTTCTTTAAGCGTTCTAGGAGTCCAATTGTTTTCGGTTAAAACATTATATATCTCTTTAGTTGTTTGATTAACAATCACATTAAAATATAATTTTTCTGGATTCAAGAATTTCACAATTTCTCTTAATTCCTTACAACTAGGATGGCTTGAATAACAAACTCTGGTTATATTATTTTTAACAATTACATGACCAGCGGTGTCTATAACATCCTTAGTAAATGCTAAGGCATTAAGCTGTACACATTTTACATTTTTATTTAATTCCATGCAGTTGATATTATCAGTGTCACATTCACTTTTTGAACATGCATGTATTCTATTGTTGGTAAAAATTGGGGTTACATAGTTGTCCAAATCTGATATTGAACTATACAATTCTTCATACTTTTGTTTATGCACATGAATTGCGCATTTGAAATGTTTGGCAACTTCAACAATGGCATATTCTATGCCCACATATCCAGGCATCCACAAGCAAATTTTATTATTAGAGTCTTGGTCTAACCATTCTTCAACGACTTTTATCAAGTTGACACTACTTTCCTTCCTCGTTGGAAATTCATAATACATTTTGGATGCAAAAGTAGTATCTAAATACAATGCAGATATATTCTTTGGACTACAATTACCATCTTTATCTATCAATAGTGCTTTAAATTGTTTGAAGTCTTGTAATTGTACTCGAAAATCTCCAGTGTATAAAATACGATGTGAACCAGCTTCAATCAAAAACATGACTGATCCTGGACAATGTCCAGCTGGTAAGAGGGTCACACATATGTATTCAAAATTTTCTGAATGAACTTTTAATAAATTAGGAAATCCAATTTCAAGAGATATAAGCTTATCTTCCCTGAGATTAATGGTTTTATTTCGCTTTAAATATGTTATTGTCAATGGTGACGCATAAAGCATCATGTTGTTCTTAGTATTATTGAATGCCACTTGAAAAGATTGATCTTGAATACCACGCATGTGGTCTTTATGAAAATGGGACAACATAAAAGTTGAACAACTCAACAAATGTGATTCAAAAGAATCAATGCCAATGAATGCTAATTCCTTTTCTTCTAGTTTTCCACAAAAAGTAGACATTTTCCTGGAATAACAAAATATTTAAGAAAACCCAAGAAATTATAACACTTCATTTTCAATTCAGTATTTACATCCCTAGAAGAATATTTATAGTCAAATTGATAAACTGATACTTAATTTTCAGACATAAGTAAATCTTAAATTATTTATTGTCCATTATAATTTTCATATATTTAATTGGTATTCACTTTTCAATTTTTAGGACTTTCTGTTACACCCTATGTATGATAAATAAGTTTTAATCACCATATTTTCAAATTACTAACAAGTTTTATATAATCAAACAAAACACAAGCCAACACACCTTGAGAATGTTGGATGAGAACATAGCTCTATGAAACCTTAGTAATCTGAATTATTAAAGAATGACAAAACAGTTGAATACTAATTTTACATTTATGATTTTTTATAGGTACAATCTTAGATTATACAAGTTAATTATAATCAATGGTACAATACTATAAAAGTATCTTATTTTACTCCATAAAGAAAATATGTACCTAGTAATATTAATATTTTACTTACGTTTAGATTAGTGTTATTGAAAATTTCATATGACCGAAGAACGTTGAATTGTTGAAACTTTGAAAAGATCCTTTATTTCTATTTTCTATTCTGTTTCTGTATTTCTGTGTGTTGTATTTAATATTTTATCATATTTTATCAATGTTATTGAAGTTTGATGGTTAGGTTAGAAACTTATATTACCATATACCATAAAATGAATATTACCACATATTACCRTAGAACAAAGTATTGCTCAAACCGCAACGATTTCAAAGAGATTATAAGAAATAAATAGTTCCCGCCATGAACTTAAAATTATGAGGTAAATTATTAGAATRTAATGATTAATGAATATTTAATCCGAAAATATACTTAAGTGTTCACTCGTTTAATTTTGTATATACCTACAAATAGTTTCAAAATGAGGACAACCTAAGTATTCTATAAAAATTAAAAATATACCACACTTAGATTATTATATGTAAATCAATATAAAATGTTGCTGTTAGTTCCCCAAAAAGGTTATAAATTTACAAAGAAAAACTAGTTGTACCAAGTGTAAGTCCAGATAGAACCARTGAGTTGCCAAGTTTAATTCATTGGACCGGATTATATTTTGGTAGATTTTGTATAGGTACAACCAAAAAATTAATGGATTTTAGGACAATTACAAGTTTTAAATCTTGGTAG